ACTTTATGACTATTATTAAGTGTTGTACCTTATGATTCTTGACTCGATGAATGTATCTTGTCTTTTATGTACACTGAAAGCATATGCACCAATACAAATTCCTTGTGTGTCCAATCACACTTGGCCAATAAAAAGTTCTATTCTATTCTATTCTGAAAGGATGACACAGAGAAGAAGAGGTTGATTTATTTTCCAAAGCACCTGAGGTCAGGACAAAAAGCAATGGGTGGAAGCTCATCAGAGAGAGATCCAACCGAGAACTAAGAAGAAATTTCTTAATAGTGAGAACAATTTGTCAATACAACAGCTTGCCTCCCAAAGTTGTGGGTGCTCTATTCCTGGAGATTTTAAAGAAATTGGACAATCATTTGTCCAGGATAGTATAAGTACTCCTGCCTCAAGGAGCCCTATGATTCTATTTCTATATTTAAACACTGAAATTAAGTCTATTTGAAAACAGCTATTTCCCACAATGATTTATATGATCCACTTCATAGATTCTCAAGGATTATTGACTGATTCTGATACTAGTATAGAAAAAACAGCATGATGATAAAACATCAACCACTGAAGTACAAGATTAATATTTAGAAGGAAAGCATTCAAATCCAGATTTAGTCACAAAGTTCATGGAATACATTTGGGATAACTAGCCTCAAAACTGGGGATGGGGGGGAAGAATGAGAAAGAATGTAATAAATCACCAGAAGCTGTGGGGAAGAAAATGGTATATAAACATAATTCACTACAATATACTGGGTTTAGAAATAAACCAATAGCAAAGTTACTTGGTTGGATCAATGTAATACAATTTAAACTGCTTATATTAGCAAATTTCTAATTTTGCATTTTGGATAAATTTTCAAAGATTTTTAAAAAGCAGAAGAGAAACTGCATATTCTGATTTTTTTGCAGAATATATCCAAAACAGCTGGATTAGCTATACAGTTGAAATTAATGCAATATAATAAGTTTGTTCTTTTCCACCCCAAAAAATTACTGACTTAAAAATATTGTCAGAATCCTTTTACAAAAGAAATCACCATGGCACACAATTACTAGGCAGAAAAAAGTTATAAATGCTATTTCCTGATGTATACATGTAAAATGAACACATGCTCTGATGCCAAGATACGCAGCTATTAAACTCACTCTGTATTATTTGTCACTCAGTTTTTTAATGAGTCATAAAATATGAGGTTCTATCTGGTTGATTCATATTAATTTTTCTCCACACCCTTTTGATTTATAAAAAAAGCCTTATAGCACAAAAGAGTTAAAAATTAAAGACTATAATTCAGAATATACATTTACCTATTGCACACATTGTAAATTCCTTTAAGAATTTGCTAACTATCTTTAAATTATAAAACTGCATATATGAAATATGATAGCCTACCTATCAAATCCAAAAATTTCAAAGTACAGCCTTTGCTATACATATAAAATTAAAAATAAACAGAAAATCAGCAAAGACAATTTTCATTTTGCATTTAATAATGGAAATATGATTTTAAAAATATCTTCTTAAATATTTTAAATTCATGGTAGTGATTCGTGGAAAAATAGATCCAAAAGATCATAACTCATAATTGTATTATGATCAAGTAAATGAAACAAGAACAGTCAATGCCAACATATTTATTAATGACAAGAATGAAAATAGAGAGACTGGCTAATTTATAACTTTCAGAAACTAAATTTATCACTGTAGAAATTATTTCCGTAACATACATTTACAATTACTCACTTTACTAATAATGAAGAATCTGAAAGATAAATCCTTTGTTGGAAATTCCTGTTGTATTTCTTCTGGCAGAAGATCTAGTTGCATATAAATTAATTTGTGAACACAGATGCCCTTGAAGAAAATTAATTTTTGTTGCCTATAAAAATCTCTTTATACGAATCTAAGTGCCCTTGACAAAACCCTCATCCAACGTCATATTCTGAATGTGCTGATTCAATAACAGATAGGCTGTTATAAATCCAACTAGCTATCCAAATCCATATTTTTCCTTCTTCATGCATTTTATGAAGTAGATTCTATTCCATAGAGGCATCTGCTACAATATCAGTTTGAATTAAGATTCATACATGTCTCTGCTAATTCTTTGGGCTGTAACAATTTTTATTTTGTCTAAATTCCCAATATCTGGTTAAAAACCCATTTTTACATAACTCACTTAGGATTCATATGAGAAAACAATTAAATCACCAACCACCTATTTCTACAGATCATCATCATGGTATAAAATTGTGATCTAAAGCAAGAGTGCAATTCTACACATCCCAGGATAATATTGCAGGATCCAATCTGGTCAGTCACTGGGACAAGAAGTTTAGTCTTCCAAGCCTTCAGTCTAATGGAATTTAACATTCTATTAGAGAGAACTTCTTTGGGGATGGGCTCCAGCACAACTCTGAAAACTTAGGAGACTAAACCTCTGGTCCCAGTGGCTGACCCAGATTGGAACCTAAAACAAGAGTCTACAAAAATTTTACATAAGTTGATTAGAAATCACTCTCGTGCCTATCTGCATTCAATGAGAACACAACTACAAATTGGACCATTTTTTGGTATTGCTTGCTCAAAAATTTGGATCTACAGATTTATGGTTTATGGATCCAGGTGGTTTTTCCTCAGATCCCAAATGGAACCAAGATTAAATCACAAAACATATCTATCTGGAGGCAATAAATCATTACAACCACAAACCTATCTAACTTAAGCAAAAATCCAAAACCATGATAGTTTTGTGCAGATTGATGTTATACATGTTTTAATTTTATATGGCTTCCTTCTAACATCATGTGAAATCAAGTGTAACTATGCCTCAGAACCTCAGATTTCCACATGGAACCAATATCAAAGCAATAGGAAAAAGGATCAGGGAAAAGGCACACAAGCAAGGATGTAACTCAAGGTCAACAGCAATATATAGTTACATAACGCAGAGATCAATTTTTCTCCCACACCATCTCGTGTTCATTCTTCCAGTTTCACGTTAACTGCTTCCAATGCAATTATCTGTTGGCACAATAATAGTTAAAAGTGCTCCTATTCTTTTCATTAGGTCTTGCATGATGACAGAATAGTTACTATTTTAAAATAACTATCTTTAAAAAGGTGGAACTTATCTTAAACATAAAATTGTTTCTCCAAAGCTAACATAGTCTATTTCCATAGACTATGGAACACTCCATGAATGTTTTGATATTTAAAATGCTGTAGGCTGTTTATATCTTTCAGCAGGAAGCAGCACCTCTTTAACTTTGGCTCAGGAGATAAGTAGAAACATGCAGATCTGCTTAATATTTGAAAGGGAGACCTCAAGGGAAAAATGGTTGACTGGTCTGGAAAATGGCAGTGCAACACATCAGTAGTGATGTAATGTATAAATTAGTTTCATTGCTCTATAAAGATCCCCTGCAAAAATCATGTGGGTTAATGAGATTTGGTACAGATAGTCCTCAACTTACAGCAATCATTTAGTGACTATTGAAAGGTACAGTAGCACTAAAAAGTGACTTATAACCATTTTGCACACTTATAACCTTTGTAGCATCCTTATGATCATGTGATCAAAATTCAAATGCTTGGCAATTGGTTCATACTTATGGCCATTACTATTTTCCAAGATCACATGATCACTTTTTGCAACCCTTTGACAAGCAAAATCAATGGGGAAGAAAGATTCACTACGGTTTAGTACTAACTAACACTTGTGGCAAGAAGGGTCATAAAATGGGACAAAACTCACTTCACAAATGTCTCACTTAACAAAAATCTTGGGCTCAAGTATGGCCATAAATCGAGGACTATCTGTACATCAAATCAACTTGCACAAAAATCTTTGAATCATTTGAGATAGCTCATTGCATACTGATGGATCATGCATGTAATCTGTGATTTCTGTGAGCGTTCAATGTAGGTCCCATATAAATTTATACAAAGGTTAAGAATGCTCCTTGAATTATTTATATATAGCAGAGGATACAGCAAAGTCTAAAATGAAAACAGTAACTAGGGTTAAGTGCCTGAAGATGGACTACAAATCATGCAGTGCATTATGCCACCCTGTTTGATTTCATGTTCCTTTGATCGTTTTGTCAACCTACTCTTAAATATTAGCAAGGGGAGCAGTGTTGCTTGAGTTGTGGTGGAAGCTTTAAAATGCTCCATGGTGAAGGGCCAGAGAACCCTCTCCTCCTTTCCTCTGCCCCCCCCCCCCCTTTTAATTCTTGCTGCAATTGGTTAAGCCAGAGAAAAACTCGCGGGCCAAAGGTAAGAGAAGCAGAGACCATAGGCTTGCACGGCGACCTGATACCTCCCGACGCCGCCGGTTTGACTCAGAACTTGGCCCAACTTAGTTCCTGGAGTTCCCTCTCCAGCGACTCAAGCGGAATGGGACCGTCTCAGATTCGGAGGCCTGAGCGGATCTAAAAAGCTTCAAGAATATCCCGACCTGACCCTTCAGACGCGGACGAGCCGAGAGTCAAGAGCCTCGCCCAGGACCCTGGCCGGTACCCTTTCCTCGCCGCCTCCCTAGCAGCCTGCAACCGAGTCCCGCTTCAGCGCGAAGGGCTCGAGCCATGACAGTCACTCGCTTGGCCGCCTTCCGTTGTCCCTATAACTTGTCGCCTCTCCAGATCGGGACCGGAGGACAGTCACCGCGACACGCCCTGAACCCCGCTTCTTGGCTCCTAGCCGCCTCCCGCCTCTCCTCGGGGGTGTGGGGGGGGGGGGGAAACACAACGGCACGGGAGGAGCGGGGCCGCGACGAAAGGAGCCAGTTCTCTGGGTGGGGACGAGGGTTCAAAGCTGCGACCTCGCCGTGAGGAGAAAAGAAACACGCTGTTTCCACCCCGCCGCCCACAGAACCGCTATTCCTGTTCCCAGCCAACAACCCCAACACAGACACATAGACACACACGCACCCACACATGAGCGTGCACACAAAGAGAGAGATTCCCCCTCCCCGCTTTTTTTTTTTTACCCTTTTCTCAGGGAAAAAAAAAGTTCCTTCAGAGCCGCACGCCTGTTCCTCTGGGTCCAAACGGCGCCCCTCCAGGTTCGCTGCTTTTCCCCTTGGCGTCGCCGATCTCGGCGCGACTCGCTCTACAGCTCCCAACAAAAGTGTGAGGAAGACAGAAGAGCTGATGGACGGAGAGACTCGGGGCACGACAGATGCCTGCCCCGCCCAGCAGAACCCGCTATTTGAGTGGCCATCAAAGAGAGCCAATAGCAACACCGCAACCAGTTACGACACCAATAGAAATTCGTTAGAGAGGAGGGAACTCCATTGAGGCCCGCCTTTTTCTTTTTTCTTTCTTTTTTGGTGTGTGGTTTCCCAAAGTGGGTAGGTCCCGCCGCTTCATGAACAGAGATGAATTGTGACGCGTCGTTGGAGATAGTGCTCGAGGGGAGGGATTTTATTTGTTCTGTCAGCGTCTGATTGACAATAGAAGACTACAATTGGGTTCGGAGGTTAAAAGAGGTGAAAGTTCCACTCGGCCTGCTGCTGCGAATCCGGGCATGCTGGGGCGAAACTCATCGTCACCTCTCCGTGGCCACAAATTTTGCGATTATTAGCCTGGGTTCCCTATTACTGTACTACATTCCGTTAATTACTATAGGTTTAATTCCAAAGTCGCTTTGGCTTCCTGAAAACAAAAATATCAACCATATACGAAATATTTGAAACAATGCAGCGTCCACTTCGAAATAAATGCTACTTTGTGTTTAATGGGAAATATTCCAAGATATAAGTGTTCCAGATTCCAGATGTGTGAAACTTTACTAACTAAAACAATAATAAAGAGCTATTAGAAATGAGTTTAATCCTTCAAGTATATTGTTTTTGAAACTAGAACAGTTAACTTCTAATTCTTCAGGTGGATTTAAATTGTTAGAAAATCATTGCCCAATGGACTAACAATTCCATTCAATATTGCTATTAAAAGTACTGCTCAGGAAGTGTGTACATTGTAATCCAGCGCAACTGAACAAAATTAGGTCAAGAAAATCTGGCTTACAAGCTTAGTTTCACAGTTTCAGTTCTCTTCAACTTTGTTTTCCTTTCCAGCAGTCTGTGCTTTGAGATGAGGAATATCCTTAGTATAAATTAGAATCTTAGAACATTTTATCGTAAACAGAAAAAAGGTATTTTAAGGCCCCTATAATTTGCAGATTACACCTGGTTTAACAACTGTACCAGCAGCATTTCTTGTCTGGACCCTAAATGACCATGAGGATTGTATGGAATGGAATTCTTCAGTAATATTGCTGTCATTTATATAATCTTACCTAAATGGCCCCAGCCTCACATTGAATTTTTGTGATTATCAAGATTTGTTCTGTGTTTATCCATATATTCAAAGAATAATTAGATGGTGTTGGGTTTTCTATTTGAACAGTAGGTTGGACTAGAAGACCCCCAAGGTCCCTTCCAATTCTGTTATTTTGTGAGACGTTTGAAGAGGTCTGTAAAGCTCCAGCATCAGTGTTGTATTCTTTCTGGGTAACTTCACTGATCAACAGGGTCAATCCTCTTTGGTCTAAACTTTCTCTTCTATTTTCCAAGCTAGCATTTAAATCCAATCTTTTAACTCTACCAATCTTCACTTGTTGGTGTTTGGCATTGCATTCAGAGTAAAGTTGGACAGCAATCCTGTAAGATATATAATTAGTTCTTATTTGCTGAATTCCAAGGTAATTGAATAGTTGTATTGTTTAACAAACCTGTAAACCAGAAGGAGTAGAACAAGAGGTATGACTTCTAAGGTACCTTATTGAGTCATTTATAGATGTAAGAACGGGTGTCAAATTTGCAGTGTCACATTGCCTTCACATGATATTTCATGACGTTTTCCCATTTGTGGAATTGGGGTGAGTGTGGCCTACACATGAGGCATCTGGCCCACAGACCGCCAGTTTGACATCCCCGAAAGGTAAGAAGAACCTGAAGTATTCAGGTACATACATTGATCAGCCACTTAGATTCTTCTTCATGTCACTACAGGTTTAGACAGCTTTCCAGGGTTATGCAATATATCACTAAGTTGATTTCCTTTTGTTATAATATTCCATTGTTAGCATCCATGTAAGTTTTCACCTGACAGTTCATTCCACAGACTTGGATCGTCCATCTTAGATTCTGTGTACCTAAGGATACAGAAGCCCCAAATATCTTGCCAGAACAAACATGGTGGTTGGTTCATCCAAAATATTGAAAATAGTTTCCTGTAAATCCATGTATTAGAGCTGGACATCATCTTTCTTCTGTTTAATTTTCTGTTGAGAATCCTCAGGTCAAAATACAAAATACAATCGGAGCAGGATATTATATATTACTAAGTAAACCAGAGGTTCTGCTGCTATTTTGTTGTTGTTAATTTGTTTGCTATTGCTTCCTTAATTTTCTCAATAGTTCATCTGTATAATGATTTGGCAGTGCCCCAAAAGAATGAATCACTTGTACCTCTAAAGCTTTATCCGTAATCTTCGTTATTAATTATGTTTAGGAGTTTATTTGAATTGCTCTTGGTCAAGGCTAAATGCTCAATGTTTATAGTTGGCAGCTTATTGTTCTTAGTGCTTACAGAAGGAACTTTGGCTTGTGTGGAGGAGTGAAAAGTGAATGTTTTTATCACCCACACATAATGGAAATATTTGAAATGTAGCCAGATAAAGTCTCATTTTGAGCAGCGTGCCAGGGATTGAGCTTATTTGAATGTCAGCAAAACTCCATGTAAGTGTGGAGTTGAGAATAGAAAACTTGGCTTATAGACACTAGCTCTTTATTAGACAAAAATAAACCTGTATTATATCAATTACAATAAATATGTAGGACAATCTGGTTTGTTGGAAGAATCCAGTTATAATTAATTCCCTTCGCCTTTCATTGCGTAGTAATAGGGAGTCCTTTCTTCAATGATGTTTGAGCTGGTGTTTAAATATCTTTTGGGTTGCTTCAGTGCCTTACTGGGGCATGGGGAGGGTCTCCTAAGGGATGCACATGCTATCTCCCAGCCCAATCCCCTCTCACCCACCCTCCGTTGCCTGCTGAGTGCTATTTCTCACAGCAAAACTTCTGGAAATGAGGCTGCTGCTTCTTGGGGGCAGAGAGCAGAGGGGGCTCTCCTGCCTTCCTGCCCCTGCTATGGCTCAGAACCAGAAGGGGTTCTTTTACAGCTTTCCATGGAGAAGCGAAGCTTTGCCTAACTAGCCAGGTCCAAAGGAACTTCCATGGCTCAGGCAGGAGATTTCTGACTGCTGGCATTGCTGGCCACAGGCATCCTTGTCCTCTCCTGCCAGGCAGCCCCCAGCAAAGCACTGGGGCCAGCAAACACCTTGGCCCTTGGGGATGCCTGGTTCTACTTCAGCCGGGGGTCCTGCACTTCTCATGTGGGCCTGGCTGCCCTGGTCATTTTGGGGGAAGCCCCCTCCCCATGTCCAGGATTAGAGCAGCCAGCCTGGACACCCTCTTTGCTTCTTTCTTTGCTTCTCCCACCTTCCTTCCCTTGACTGTTCTTGTACTTCTTTTTCTTAATAAATGGTGCTGAACCCCATAAATAAATAAATAAATAAATATGTGGGTGGTAGTTGTTCGTTTGTTATCATTCCTAGATGTACTAATCTACAAAAAAACAGATGGCACACTAGGACACACCATATACCAGAAGAAAACACACACCAACCGCTACCTCAATGCCCAATCCCACCACCACCCAGCACAGATGAACTCCGTGGCCAAAACACTAATTGCCAAAACCAAACGCCTGGCAGACAAGACATACATAAAGACTGAACTATGAACCCTGACTAAAGTACTGACAGCTAACAGCTTACCAACAGCAATACCAACAGCAAGCACTGCTTGCACTGGCACGAAGCTGAAAGCACCAGCCTGAGGATGGCGAGTGGGACCTCGCCAAAACGTTGCCAAGATACTCTTAATCTTACACGGGAAAAGACCCGAACACACCTAGACCTACGTACCTGTACCCGTGAAAATCTATGAATATATAGATAGATAGATATAGATATAGATATATATGGATCTTTGGTTATTCAGGTTTTCTCCCGTGTAAGATTGGAAGTATCTAGGCAACATTTTGATGAAGTCTCATTCATCATCTTCAGGCTTGTGTCTTCGGCTCTGTGCTTCTCAGAGCCAAAGACACAAGCCTGAAGATGATGAATGAGACTTCATCGAAACATTGCCTAGATACTTCCAATCTTACGCGGGAGAAAACCCGAATAACCAAAGATCCACATACAAATACCTGCGAGAACCTCAGAAAATATATATATATACATATTGCTGTTAAGTGCAGGTTGCTCTCTCTGAACATTAGTTTATGCTTCTATAGGTGTAATAGTTGTGTAAAAGCCTCAAGAGACTTTTTAAAGAATAATAAATAGAGATTACTATCAGAATTGTTAAAGGCATTGCCTAGATAAAAATTCCAAGGCGCTCTCATTCTGAGATTCTTGTCCCTTCCAGGGAAAGCAAAAGTTGCTGGAGGGACAACAGCAGCCTCAGGAAAGAACTATGTTGTAAAAAGTATTTTGGCAATCTTTTGAGATCAAAGAACTGACCTCAGTCTTTGTTTTCAAATCCCATTCCAATGTTACTTCATGCAAAAAAAAATCTATTACTATTATTATTTTATTTATTTTATTATTTTATTTATTTTATTTATTTTTATTTTTATTTATTTATTTTAGTAGGTCATATTTACATCCTAAATAATTGGCAGTTTTCAGTTGTTTTTGGAAACTGTCAAATGAAGTCATTCTTATTCATCTACTTCTTTTCTCCCACTCTCCACAAAAATGTTTAAAAGCATTCACTATTAAAAATCAACCCATGCAGCCTGCCTTGCTGTCTTTAGTCAAGATAAAGTACAAAATGAAGGACTAAAAGCAAAAGATAAAAAAAAAATTAAGAGCATTTAGGCAAGATTTAAAAGAGAAGAAAGAGACAGTTTAGTGTAATGGTTAAGATACCGGCCTAAATATTACGAGATTGTGAGTTCTACACACCACCATCCCCCTTAGGCACGAAAGCTGGCTAGGTGACTTTTGGCCAATCATTCTCCCTTAACCCAAACATCCACTCACAGAATTGTTGTGAGGAAAACAGAAAGCAGGGGAATTGGTATGTATTACCTAATTAGGTAGCTAGTACATCAAGGTATATACATATATACCAGTATGGCATTCAGCTACAGAAGCCTGATGATGGCAGATGAGATTCTGCTGAAACATTGGTATAACTTTAAAAGCACAACTACAATGACGTGGGAAAATACCCGAACAAAGCTGAATGCCATACATGTAAGTACCCGTGAAAACTTAAGAAAACATATATACCAGTACATATACATATGCATGTTTCTGTGTGTGTGCGTGTGTATAATGTACATAGCATTTGTTGTTGGAAAAGACTCTTGGCAAGACTATGATGATAAGAATAAAACGAATCACAGAACAAATTAATTCAGAGTTCTCCTCATATTTTGGACACATTATGGGATTACCTAGCTCTGTTGCGAAACTAGGAAAGGTGGACAAAGAAAAGAAGAGGAAACTAACAGCAACATGGAAAGACTCAATTACAGTGGCAATGGGTCAACCATTGGATTATGTAAAAGGCTTTAGTGGGCATAGATCATCTTGGAGAAGAGCTGCATATAATAGAAGCATACTATTTATTTCTACCAATATCATTGAAATAAAGTACAGGATCAGAATTTTTTTGACCTAGAAAGTTTCGCACATTATCTGAAATGAATTTCCAAATACTTGTACTGTACTATATAATTTGGACTGTACTCTTCATCTGGAATAGTAACTGGTTTTTTGTAGGCTGTTCTATATTTAATATAAAATTAATGATATGGTACTTTATACCTTATATACAATAAAAATACACAAGGATTTTTATTTTATCATTGTAGCCTTTCTATGTAAGCTTGTTATACAATCAATCCTTAACTTATACCCACAACTGGAACCTGAGTTTTGGTCGCTAAGTGATATAATTGTTCTGAACCTGATTTTATTGTTATAGTTAAGTGAATCGTGTGGCTGATAAGTGAACAATGCAGTTGCTAAGCAAATCTGATTTCCCTCATTAAGTTTGCTTATTAGAAACCGGCTGGGAAATTTGCAAATCATAAACACATATGGTAAATGCAGGACACTGCAATAGGTCATAAATGTGACCTCATTGCCAAGTGCACAAATTGCAAATCATACGACAGCAGGCCTAGTGGTTTTTTTGAGTCCCCCCACCAAAACCAAGAATGACACAATGTGATTTTTCCAAGTAGATTTCTTTATTGTTCCACATCTCTAGATTAGACAGAATTTACATAATCTGTACTTAGAGAACAAAGTTATAAGGAGGGTTTGTCTTCACTCTGTTTCTCTCACACAAACTAGCTCAGTGGTTCCCAAACTTTTTCAGTCCACCACCCCCTTGGTGCTACAAACTAATCCTCGATGCCCCCCACCCAGGGGTGGGATTTAAATTTCTGTGGGCGTGACCTAATTTGAGGGTGTGACTTGCGGGTCACGTGACTAGCTGGCGTGGCTTGCTGGTTGGGTGTGGCTTGCTGGTCACATGAATAGGTAGGTGTGGTTTGGTGGGCATGGCCAGGTAACTGGCAATCCAAATACAAGTGGTCCTCACTTAATAGCTGGTTGTTTAGCAAGTGTTCTTTATGACTGGCCTCAGAGCTACTTGACCTGTTTTTGGAGTTTTCATAGCTACGCACACACACACACACACACACACACACACACACACACACTCTTCTAACCCTGCTGGAGCAGGTCATTACACTACAATCGGCAAAGCATCTCTGATTAGATTCTAGTAGTGAATAGAATCTAATCAGAGATGCTTTGCTGATTCTTGTTGATTTGTTTTATTTGTATTTATTTCATGTTGCTGAACTGCATTGACATGTGTGTCCCTTCTTGTGCACAACCCAGAAGCTTTTGTGATTCTTTGCAGCAAAAATTACCAACCTCTGGCTTTGCTCTACTTTTCAAACGTGCCGCCACTGCCACATTCTAGGTGCCAGCCCCGCAGGTCCACCCCTTTGAGCCCACTGCACCAGAGGGAGCTGCCCAAGCAAGTCCAAGTGAAGCAGTGTACCAGATCAAAGGGGTGAGCCTGAGAAGAAGAAAGAGAAAGAGAGAAAAGAAAGAGAGAGAGAAAGAGAGAAGGAAGAAAAGAAAGAGAAAAGGGAAAGAACAATAAAGGGACAAAGAAAGGGGGGGAATGGAAGGAAGGGACAGAAAGAAAAAGAAATAAAGAAGGAGGGAGGAGAAAGATAATGAGATATCTATCCTAATCCAATCACCTGCTCCAGCAGGGTTAGAAGGGAGCGTGTGTGTGTGTGTGTGTGTGTGTGTGTGTGTGTGTGTTCTTGTAATTTACCACTACATTTTGGTTTTGCCTTCATCAGAATTGGCACTGTAATACAGTAGAGAAAAGTAATTTTTAGGGTGGAGATCTGGTTCAATGGATCCTGTTTAAAACTTCAACAAAATGTGAGAGCTTCCTGATAGTCTTGGCCATGTTTCGTCCACAAAACCTTTAATAGAAGCCAAAGGTATTTCAACATGGAAAAGGGCCTCAATCTAAAGGCCTCATTTCAATCTGATGCATCAGGTCTCTCTCTCTCTCTCTCTCTCTCTCTCTCTCTCTCTCTCTCTCTCTCTCTCTGTCTCCCCCCC